GAGTGGTGGTTTGAATGTGCGTGTGAGAGCGGTGAGGAAGACCAGGAGTGGAGGATTGGTAATTGAAGCTGCGAGTGCGAGGGAAATGGAAATGCTGAAGCAACACAAAAAGTTTGAAGAGATAGGTCTCAAGGTAGAGACACCCAAGAGAGTGGGTCCGAAGATGATTGTGTTCGATGTTATGAATGAAATGACGAATGATGAGCTGATTAATGAGTTGTATGTTAAGAATTTAAAATCTGCTGGAGTGACTGAGATGGAGTTTAAGGATAGAGTGCGTATAGTGAGTAGAATGAATAAGAAAGGTGCGGATGTAGGAAACGTAATAATCAAGGTGTCTAAAAGAATGCGTGATATATTAATGAGTGAGGAACGAGTGTATGTGAAATGGAGAGCATGCAAGGTGAGAGACTTTTTGAATGTAATGAGATATTACAAATGCTTTGCCTTTGGGCATATGATGCGTGAGTGCAGCGTGAAGAAGAGATTGTGCGAAAAGTGTGGTGAAAGTGGGCACTTGAAGGACAAGTGCAAGAATGCATGTGTGTGTAGGAATTGTAAAATGAAAGGAAGAACGTCTGATCATTCGGTTCTGTCCTGTGAATGTCCGGAGTATGTGCGAATGTTGGAGCGTGAAAAATCTAGAATAAGTGATGACTGATGCGTGCTTGAGAATTCTGCAGTGTAACTGTCAGAAATCGTATAGTGTGTTGTGTGATTTGGGCAATGTGATGAATGAGAAGGATGTGAGTGTTGCTTTGCTGCAAGAGGTGTGCGTGTCGCATGGATGTGTGAGAGGTTTACCGAGTGGATGGCAGATGTATGGTTGCGCGAATGATCCTGCCAAAGCGGCAGTGGTTGTTCGCGATGTGAATGTAGAAGTTATGTGTGTGCGTGAATGTACGAATGAATTTGGTGTGTGTGTATGGCTTAAAGGGGACTTCGGCGAATTGTACGATGTGTCAGTGTATTGTAGGTGGGGCTCCGACATTGGGCCCTACTTGGAATACATGGAAAGTGTGAGAGAGTATGTGAGGGATAAGCGCGTGTTATTTGGTATGGACGCGAATGCGACCTCGCCCTTGTGGTACAGCAAGGGCGGGGGGCGCAGTAGAGAGAACGAGATGCGTGGAAGGATTTTAAAAGAATGGGTGTTAACGAGTGGAATGATTGTGTTGAATGAGCCGAGTGAGTATTATACTTTCTCGGGGGTGACTGGGCAGAGTGACATTGATGTCACTCTGGTGAATGACTCGTTAGCCAGGTGCCGCCTTGAATGGAAGGTGAAGAATGACTGGGGAATAAGTGACCATAATGTGATTTTGATTAAGATGATGTATGATGAGAGAGAGCAGAATGCCTTGGACGTACGAAAGGGATGGATATGCAAGGATGTGGACTGGGAAGAGTATAAGAATGATTTGATGGAGTTAGCATTGATGCATGGACAGGATGTATGTAACGAAACAAATGTGGATAGAATGGTTGAGCGTCTGATGGAGTGGATCCAGGTTTCGAGTTCGAACGACAATAGAATGAAACGGAAAATAAGATTGAATGACAGGAAGATAGTGTGGTGGACGGATGATTTGAAGAGAATGAAAGCGAAAATGCGAAGGAGCAGAAAGTTATGGCAGACAGCGAGAAGAAGACGAAGCGAGGATGTTGATGTATGTTTTAGCAGGTATAAATGTTTGATGAGAGAATATAAGCGTGAGTTGTGGAGAGTGAAAGAAGAGAGTTGGCGAAAATTTGTCAGCGAGTCGTCGAACCTGGATCCATGGGGCCCTGTGTACAGGGTGTGTAGGGATAAGAATGCGAGGGAGAGAATGAGTTCGTTGAAAGTTGGTGGTGTGAATTATTCCACATGGAAAGAATGTGCACAAATGTTGTTGGAGTGTTTCTTCCCAGTCTCGAGTGTTTCAGAAGGAGTAAGTGGGATGGATAAGAGTGTGAATGAGATGGAAGAGTTTGATTGGGACGAGGTAAATGATGCTGTAATGGCAGCGATGTTGGGCAAGGCACCTGGCTTGGATGGAATAACAGCGAAGATGTTGCGAATGATTTGGTATGCGATTCCTGGATGCTTGTTGAAGTTGTTTAATGCATGTCTGAAGACTGGATGTTTCCCGAGTGAGTGGAAAAAAGCTTGCGTGGTTGTTTTGTTGAAGTCTCCTGAAAAGCCGCGAACGGGCCCTGCGTCGTACAGACCAATTAGCCTGCTGTCGGTGTTTGGGACAACTTTGGAGCGAATGATGGTTAAGAGGCATGAACGAAGAGTGTGTGATAGTATGGATAATGCGCAGCATGGTTTTCGCAGGGGACGTTCGACGGAGAGTGCATGGGTAAAAGTGAGAGAGTATGTGAGTGAAAGTGAAAAGAAGTATGTGCTTGATATATTTGTGGACTTTAAAGGAGCGTTTGATAATTTGGAATGGAGTAGTGTGATTGGATGGTTGAATGAGACAGGCTGCGCAGAGATGCCACTGTGGAGGAGTTACTTCCAGGGCCGAGCAGCGTGCATGTGTGGTGTGAATGAGGTCGTGTGGAGGGATGTTGTTCATGGGTGCCTGCAGGGGTCCGTCTCTGGTCCTTTCCTACGGATTGGACGGATGGATGGGCTCCTGCGGCGATTGAGAGAGCGTGGATGTAAGTGTGTGGCCTTTGCGGATGACCTGTACCTAATGGTTGAAGGACAGAGCCGAAGGGAAATTGAGCGAATCGGAACTGAGTGGATGGCAATTGTGTGCGAATGGGGAGCGGAAGTTGGTGTTAGCGTGTCTGTGAGTAAGACTGTGACAATGTTGATGAAAGGTAGTATGGCTGAGAGTAGGCGACCGATCGTGCGTATGAATGGAATGCCCTTGAAATATGTAGAGAAAGTGAAGTATTTGGGAATTTGGGTGAGTGAGAGAATGAATTTTAAGGTACACCTCGATCATCTCAGAAAGAAAGTTACGAATGTTGTGGGTGCTATGAGGAGGGTGATGAGGAGAGAATGGGGTATGAGAAGGAAATCTGTGAGAGTGCTGTATAAAGGTTTGTTTGTTGCGTGTGTGATGTATGGTGCGAGTGTGTGGTATGATGTGATGCAATTTGGGTATGCGAGGGACTTGATGAATAGATGTCAGCGTGTTGTATTGCATGCGTGTTTGAATGTATGTAGAACCGTTTCGACGGAGAGTATGCAAGTTTTGATGGGTGTCCTACCTTGGGACCTAGAATGCGTGAGAAGAGGGATGAGTGCTAGAATAAAGAATGGTGTGAGTCTGTGTGCGAATGAAATTGTAGCCTTGAGTGAACTGGATGGACGTGTAGTGGATGAACGTTTGGAAATTGTGGATGGAAGAGCGTATGATTGTTGGCAGTGTAGATGGGATCAGAGTGAGAAAGGTCGTGTGACTCATGAGTATATTAAGAATGTAAGGTTTGCTGAGAGTTGCGTGAATTTTGAACCGTGTGTGTTTGCGTGTTTCTTGCTGACCGGGCATGGAAGTATGAATGCATATTTGTATAAATGTGGTCGAAGTGAGACTGAGCAATGTATGTGTGGTGCTATATGTGAGGACTGGAAACACGTGTTAGCTGAATGTAGAATGTATGATGATCTCCGAGATCTGAATGAATGTGGAGTGATAAGGAGAGAGGATGGTAGTGTGGATGTGAGTGGTGTGTTAGAATGCAAGGAGAAGTATGAACAATTTTGTGCGTATGCGAGAAGTGTGTTTGTGAGGAGAAGAAGGTGTGTGAATGCGTAGTGTGTGTGTGGGTGTATGGGGATGACGCAGGGTGGCCGCGAGGAGGTCAAAGACCTTAGGGTCGATTCCTACTCATGGCCTTTGGAGGTTGGGTGGCCGTTGGAGGTTGGCGTCTCCACGTACCCGAAGCGCCGGCTGACCATTGCCGGGGGTTACGGGACTCCCAAAATGGAAGCGGCCTTGGTCGCGCAGATCCCACCAGTGATCTTGACTGGTACCGCGGGGACCGAGGCGCCTACAGGGGCAACCATGGCTCGGTCATGGGTTGGACCATCGCGGGGGCAGTAGTTTAGAGCCGCATGCTGGCTAGAGGGCCTAGTCGGGCCCTCAGCGGGTGAGCTGCGTCCCAACAGCTCGGGTACCAGCCTGTCTTAGCTGGTAGAGTGTTGGAAAGTCACTCGGCCCCACCAGAGGTCGGTTACCGGGACCCGTAGAGCCTGGTGCCGTTTCTGGTAGTCCTTGCTTCGGCGAGGACGCGCTAATTGGGCGTATCCCAATTCCGCGCCCATGGGGGCCGTGTAGTAGAGCTGTGATGGCGGGAACTGCACGTTAAACAAACACAAACAATCTCTGTACATGTGTTACCGTCCTGGCGATCCAGTGTAAACTGCATGGGGACCATGAATGCCGAGTGCGGTGTGACGCACTCACTCAAACATCGAGTCACCCCGAACTTAAATATCGTGTTCGTTCCACGTGACAATTTGGCGATCCTGCCAGGATTGGTACCGGGACCCGTAAGAGCCTGGTGCCGTTTTTGGTAGTCTTTGCTTCGGCGGGGACGTGCTAATTGGACGTATCCCAATTCCGCGCCCATGGGGGCCGTGTAGTAGAGCTGTGATGGCGGGAACTGCACGTTAAACAAACACAAACAATCTCTGTACATGTGTTACCGTCCTGGCGATCCAGTGTAAACTGCATGGGGACCATGAATGCCGAGTGCGGTGTGACGCACTCACTCAAACATCGAGTCACCCCGAACTTAAATATCGTGTTCGTTCCACGTGACAATTTGGCGATCCTGCCAGGATCCATTTGTGCTTCACAAAGGAAAACTTCACGCGAAGAATTTTACGAAATTCTCCAACGAAGGGACTACGGGTGCCATCCTATTGTGAAAAACAAAGGATTCAACGAACAAAAAAAGAGGTAACACTGGCTTTTTCTACGTATCGAGAAAAATCCTCCAGCTACTCTTCCCAAGACTCAGATTCCTCAAACAATTCCCAAACTTCCATCAAAATGACTTCTACTGGACAAGAGAACCTGTTACGACAACTCCTGGACAAAATTCAACGATTGGAAGACGGGATTAATCAACAATTACCTATTTTAAGTGAAGAAAATAAAAATCGCGCTAAAGAAATTCAAAACCTAGGCGAACAACTCAAGATGGTAGCTTTAACAGAAGTAGGCAGCGGACACCTTCCCGATGACCTGGGAGAAAAAGAAATGCATGCTGCTCAAGTTTCCATCGAACCAAACGAAATGATGAAAGCAACCGAAGCCATCCGCACCATTGAAACCTTACGAGAGCGTGATGATGTTGGAGTCGAAGATTTTATCAAGTCGGTCAGGTATGCTCGGAGCCATTGCTCAGAGAAAACACTCTTATTAAAATTAATTTTTGTTGAAAAAATTATTGAAAACGCGAAACGCAGTATTCGCTACACATCAATCGAAACGTATGAAGAATTATACGACTGCCTCCGCCAGAACGTATCAATTCCCAACACCGTTAGTAGTTGTAGAAATAAACTACAGCAAATACGACAAGGTGCAACAGAGACAATTCAATCATATAACCTACGCTTCAGGCAACAATTAAATGAATTAATTTACGCCGTCCAGAATAAACATCAAAGCCCAATCTCTAGAAGCAACCCGCACTTATATACTTAACTTGAGGCGAGAGATAGGTATACTTGTAATTCCTAGCAAACCTCGACACTTAATCGAAGCGCAAACAATGGCGGCTGACATGGAACTTTGGACTCGCGACGCCAATCATACCATGGAAAGAAGACAAATTAATACTAAACATTCTCCACTACGCCCAACAACCCAACGTCCTACTCTCCCTGCCTACCATGTAAACCCTCCTGCCGACCGTACAAGCCTTAAGTGCACCAAGTGTAATAAAATTGGACATACTAGTGACAAGTGTTATGTGCGAAATTTTCAAATGGGCAACCAAGGCAAAATTCCATCTCTACAAATCCACAATACAGTGACAGAAGTGGAGACATACGAATTAACTGCACCACCGGAAGATTGCTACGAATTGGATGCAAACTACCAGGCATGTCAAGAAACGGAAAATTACTTGTCGACACCGGAGCAAGAATCAACATCATTAAGCGATCAATCGTAAATCAGACTAATCAGACCAGTACCAAAATATTCTTTATGGGTAACGACAAACACACTAGTAACCTAACGACCACTATACACGCACAAAATGTTTCTCATACCTTTTACGTAATTCCTGACGATTTTCCCTTGATAGAAGTCGGTATTATTGGTTTACCGTTTCTTGAAAAATACAAATACGAAATAACTAACGATACATTGACAATTAATGAAAAAATTATACCATTTCAGAGAACAATAGAACCAACACTACCACCAAAAACTGCAAGAAAACAAATTCAGTATCTAGACGGGAAGCCTGTTCAAATATGCTTCATCAATACTGGTAAGCAAAACCATCAGATTTCAAACGAAGTAGAATCCACCAACAAAATTGAGAAAATTAACAAATTCGCTAATGCTATTCGAACTAAACATATTGATCCAAATCTACGAGAATCCCTTGAAAAAATATTAATCAATGTTAATTGATTAATCCGATAAACCCATTAATATTAAAAGCTATAAACCTCCTGAGTACCATAAACAAGAAATAGAACGTCAAATTAATAAAATGCTAGAAAAATCCATTATTGAACCATCAGACTCCCCTTACAATGCACCAGTATGGGTAGTACCTAAAAAACCAGACGCCTCAGGCAAGCGTAAATGGCGAATAGTCATTGACTTTAGGAAACTGAACCAACTGACTGACCAAGACGCTTATCCACTACCAACCTCGAACGAAATTTTAGACCATTTAGGTAAAGCCAAATTTTTCAGTGCATTAGATCTTTCCTCAGGGTTCCATCAGATTCCCATGAATCCAAATTCAAAAAAATATACTGCATTCTCAACACCCCAAAGTCATTTTCACTACAACAGAATGCCTTTCGGGCTAAAGAATGCCCCTGCAACCTTCCAAAGAATGATAGATATAGCCTTACGCGGATTAATTGGAAAACACTGTTTCGTATACCACGATGACATTATTATTTTTGGTTCAACTATTCAAGAACACAATCAAAACCTTGCAATCGTACTCCATAAACTCCAAGACTTGAAGCTTAAATTACAACCAGATAAATGCGAATTCCTTAAACCCGAACTAGAATGTCTAGGGCATATAGTGACCGCAGACGGAGTAAAACCTAATCCGAAAAAACTAGAAGCAATAGAAAACTTCAAAATTCCTAAAACACCCACCCACGTTAAATCTTTCCTAGGACTGACGGGATACTACCGCAAATTTATTCGTAACTTCTCCAAAATTGCAAAACCACTAATAGATTTGACAAAGAAAGATACGCCGTTTCATTGGACTGACAAACAACAATTAGCATTCAACACTTTAAAACAAAAACTTTGTGAATCCCCTGTACTACAATATTCAGACTATGACAAACCTTTCACATTAACAACCGACGCATCGAACGAAGGACTAGGAGCAATTTTATCGCAAGACGGACATCCTTGTTGTTACATATCCCGAACACTTAATCCACCTGAAAAAAACTACAGTACAACCGAGAAAGAACGGTTGTATGGGCTATCAAACGCCTCAGACAATATTTGTTAGGACGAAAATTCACCATTCAAACGGACTATCAAGCTCTTAAATGGCTTAAAAATATTAAAGATCCCTCCTCGAGACTTATGAGATGGCGACTAACAAGTAAACTTACCCAAGTGTCACTCTCCGATTTCCATGAAATTTGGATATGTTGTAGTACATGGAAAATTAGGGGACACGTATTTTTTTTTAGCTGCGGTAAAACATACTTAGGGTATGAAACAACCCCCTAAAGTGTGAGAGTAAAATGGAAAAATTGCGATATTTTCGAGATCAGTGAAGCAATTTTGATGATTTTTGGTATGAAAGTATCTTTCGATAGAAGACAAAAATTGGCCTAGGTATGTTGGAAGGGGAGTGAAAATTAGGGGGTGAAATACCCCAAAGCGACCAATTTCTTGCT